GAAGGTGAATCTGGCAGAGGCGTGGAGGTGAAGGGACGAAGGTCCTGGGCCTGGGGGCCAGATTTGCAGACTCTGCAATTAACAGTCCAGCTGGAGAGTTAAATTGAGAGTCAAGGAGGAAGAAAGAAGAGGCAGAGACATTCGTGACAAGTTCTGCCGATGGCAGAGAAAAGAAGTCACAACTGACTGGGTGTCAGGAGAGATGGAGCAATGGAGGCTGAGAGAGTTGTGAGGCTGGTTGGCTAAGAGGAAAGAGATGGAATAAGTGGGCTTGGGGGCAATGGCGCTAGGACAGGATGAGTCAGAACAGGGTATTGTGGAGATTCTTGCCACCCAATACGGAGAAGTTTGAGACTGGAGCTGGAGAGAGAAGCCGGAGATTTTGGGGGAGTAGTGGGAACAACTGAGTCCCAGATATTAGATGATCTTTGCAATTAGGGGTTTTTGAAAGAGGAAAAAGAAACTGATCAAGCAAGATAAGCCTAAGAGGAGACAAAACAGAACAATGAGGAGAGGCTGGAGGCACTGATCTTGGTTGTGGCAGTGTAACACAGGAGTTTGTGATAAAACATGCCACCCTCACAGAAGGTTGAGGAAAATGAGATGAGAAAGGTCACTGTTTGTGGCAGCTCAGGGGTCGCTGATGACTTTTAAGAGAACCGTTTTTGGAGAGTGTTGGGTGAAGGAAACCAAAGGCTGAAAGCAGAGTTTGCAAATTTCAGGGCCATAGGCTGAATCCAACCAGGAGAGGTATTTTATCTGATCTTCAATATTTTAAAGCAAATTAATTGCTAATATTTAAAAAGTGTTAGAGTTCACATACAAATCCCAAATTCCAAACCTAAGTAATCTGGCCACCCGAGGGCCCGGATTCCTCTGGAGCTGGATGTTGGCTGGAGCCCCGGTATCAAGGGTGAGGTTGGGGGACTGGGGGGTTTCCCCCTCCAGTTTCCCTCAGCGGCACCCAGCTTCCTTCTTTCACTCCTGCTGCCTGCCTCTTTGCACTTGGGGTTAAGGCATGCAGAAGCGTTCAGGAAACAGAGGTTGTCTACTCTTTCAAGTAGACTACTCCTTCGAAAGTTTGGAGATGACATGCGGAAGAGAAAGAGTATGGCAACTCGGGGTGCTGGGGAGGAGAAAACGGGTGTGAGGGGAAAAGAGGCGCAAACTCCATTTGGTGTTTGTCAAAAGGAAGGAGATGAGTAAAGAATAGGAGACTGAAGAATCAGTAAAAGCAGTCACACCACATCCTAAATCCTACAAAACGAGAATAAAAACGTTGTGCTCATGGATGATACAAGGCACCCTGTGTTCTCTAAACTGCGCTACTGTATTTAGCCTAAAAATGTGTATTCCATCTATAAAGGGCTTTAAACAGGAAATGACTGATAAGCCCAAATTATATGTGGGAGCTGAGGAAGAAACAAGTTTGGAAAGGAAAGAAACCTCTCTGCTTTTGAAATAGGAGAAGAAACAGACAGCAATGGTGGGGGGGGGCAACTTTGCGATAGAGAGGAGGGAACATGGGGGAGCTGAGGTCACTGTTATATAGGGGGGACGCGAATAAAATGGCGCTGCTGGGGGCCGAGGCCAGCACGTGTGGTGGGATTCTGGGGGAGAGCGATAATTTGGCAGGCTTCAAGTGGATATTCTTTAAATATTTGTCTGATAGTTACTTTGTGATGGCAAGCAGAATTTTCTGATTTTCTCTTTAAAAAATTGCATTCCTATGTTTATATGTAAAAATTGGGGTTTGTGTATTACATACACTGACTGTAGCGTAACGTTCAGAATTAGTTCAAATTGTCTTCCAGCTCATGTATTTTCTATAGTGATAGACATTCTCATTGACTAAGCATAGGAAAAATGACGTGAGCAGTAGTAAAATTTCCTTCAAAATGTATTTAAAAGTTTTTTTTTTGCTGACTGCCATAATAGCAAATATTTCCTGTTTTTCTTCAGTTCTCTCTTTTTTTCCTGAGATTTTTTTTCCTGAACCAGACATCTTACATGAGTCTTACATGAGTGCTTCAAATTGCGATCACAGTGAGCGTCAGTTGTTATTAGTAAATAGCGGTACACGCTCCATCCTGCAGTTTCTGCATTTCGTTGGCCCCTCGGTGCTGACCTTGGCTGGTCTGTCAGCTGATCTTAAGATCTGTGACTTGGTTTGTGGGCAAACCCATCCAAGTTACTGGGGCGCACCACAGAGAGAAAGTGGAGCTGTGTGGGATGCTTTTGTCCATATATGTTAGGGGAAACCAGGAGTGGGCTTATGTCTGGGCTGTTAGGTGAAAAGTTTCCTGTGGAAAGCTGAGTTCACTGGCAACATATTGCAGCTTTATTCCTGTGTTGGTTTAGCACACCTTCCTGATAAACTGGGACCTATAGCAGGTGCCTAGAGGGCCCACTCTTTCATGTGGATTTGCATAAGGCTTAGGCTGCGCTATGAAATCAATTTGCTGCTGGTTATTGCAGACAATGTGAAAGTAGCTTTATTCAACGCAAACAAAAGGCCCACACGGCCTTGGAGAGGGACTTGCAGATTTGTGGCAGAGACCAAGGGAGAGGCCGGAATGATTTTCGCAAGAGGCCAGCAGGGTGAGCATCGTTGAAATGATGGATCCTACGGGCTTGTGCAGGGCAAGTGGGGCCAGACTCCAGTGTGGACTGACGGCAGCTTGGAGGGTGACAGGAGCAGGACCAGTATAGGAAGCTGTAGTCGGTTTCAGAATTCTAGCTATTTGAGCGAAATATTCATTTTAGTGAAATATTTTTAAAGCTTGTTTTTAAAATACAGCCCTAAATGATAATTTTAAAAATACTTCTCTGCAATGCGTGAATTGCTTGCAGGGCTGTCACTATAAGCTTCATGTGACTAAAAACACTTCCTGTTTCCAAATTGTCTTTGGTCTGATATGGATATTCAAATTGTAGTGCATTTGTGGCAACCTTCAAAAGAATAGAGTTCTCATCTGACTAAACAGGATACATCGCTCTAACTTTCGTTTCAGTTTGTCTCTCAAACCTGAGTAGCATTGGTCACTTATATGTAGTGAGGTGTGGCAACCTACGTGCATATAGTTAAGCATCATTAAAATTACTTGGTCAGCATTCACGGAAGGGTAAACATTAGCATCATTATGATTATGGCAGGCCCTTAACCTCTCTGAGTCTTGGTTCTCTCGTTTTAAACTGTGCTGGGGTTAAGAGGGTGGGGGGCTGGATGGTCTCGAAAACGGTTTCCGCTTGTAAGTGTCAGAGAACATGGCAAGAAGCTAGGATGGTATTTAGGACTGAGTTTGAATGTGCTAAAAGAGAAACTGAGGCATATGAAAATGTTTAAGAGTTTATTTGAGCAAATATTGATTCTAATTGGGCGGAGAGGAACCAAGTTAGGAGCTAGGGACAAGACTTTTATAGAGAAGACTCAGAAGCAAGGAAATTCTTTGATTGGCTGTAGCTTTAGTGGGTGTCTTATTTGGGAAAGGCTCGTTGGCTGCTTGTGATTGGTTAATAGGTTTCAATTTCATAACCTTGAGGCATTGACAGGCTTAGGGTTTGGTTTGCTTACGTAGATTACCAAGGCATTGGAGCCACCCGGGTCTAAGGGCCTCCTCGTTTCATTAACTCGACCAATGCGAGTAGAATAAGAAGACAGCAGCACAAACCTCTCTGGTTGGAGTTTGTATTTGTTTGGGTTTGTTAGGAGAGCTAGGACATTTGTAGCATTACCTCAAAAACTCTTCCGAATTCCAAGAAGACAGTATTGTCAACTAGGTTGTAAACTACATGTTTAAAGCCCTTTATAGACGGAAAACACATTTTTAGGCTAAATACAGTAGCACAGTTTAGAGAACACAGGGTGCCTTGTATAATCCATGAGCACAACGTTTTTATTCTCGTTTTGTAGGATTTAGGACATGGTGTGACTGTTTTTACTGATTCTGGAGCTTACGGCTTTTGCTTCCTTGTTCTCCTATGTGTGGTGAGATGATGCTGCTGTCCAGGGTCTGGCGTCTGGGACCCATGAAGGGGCTGTATCTTTCCTGAAATGATGCCACTCTTTGGCCCCTGCAGGCGTGGAGACTTTCGCAGGGAAATTCTTGAGGAATTTTCTGCGTCCCAGTTGTGGGCTTACTTATCTTCCTGTGTTTTTGGAGCAGTCAGGCTCTAAGCACTGTCTTACTGTTGATCACTGCTGTCTTGGGGGGAACTCTGGCAGAAGGTAGCCTCACTAACTCTACCTAAGTACCCCCTTCTGATGGCCATAATCTGCCTCCAAAAGCAGCATATGAATCTTCATATCCACAGGAAAGGTATCATCTGGTGCTAGTCCATCAGGTACACAATGACTTTCTTGATCAGATGTCTGCAAGTTCACTTTGATAGCCCAGTTTTTTTCTGTCTGGCTCCAGCTGGGCAACTCTGCATTGGGACATGGCTGCACTTACGGAAGGTCATAAGAAGTAGCCGATGGACTCTGGTTTCCTGATATTTAGCTACCAGGTTCCCTAAAACCTCATTCTTGTGGCGTATCAAAACTTTTTCCATAATATTCCATCATTATCCTTTCTATTTTTCTCTCTTGGTTGACCTGGCTAGGGCTACAGAAAGATGTTTTCGCTTGTTTATCGTCTATTTTTTTCTAGCTCATCAGTAGCTGCTTTTATTTTGGCTGGATCGTTGGCTAGTTTTCATTTGTGATGCTAGGGATGTGCTTCATACTGGTATTGGGAGATTACAGGAGCTAATGACAGCTAAGAGGTAGTAATAAACTATTTATGGGATTGGCCTGGTGGCATAGAGGTTAAGTTCGTGCGCTCTGCTTTGGCAACCTGGGGTTTGCAGGTTTGGATCATGGGAACGGACCTACATACTGCTCATCAAGCCATGCTGTAGCAGCATCCCACGTACAAAATAAAAGAAGATTGGTACAGATGTTAGCTCAGCGACAATCTTCCTCAAGCAAAAGGAGGAAGATTGGCGCAGATGTCAGCTCAGGGCCAATCTCACTCACCAAAAAAAATAAAATAAACTATTTATTAGACCATGTGGACAGGGTATTATGTCATGAACTTTCATGAGTCATCTCTAATCTTCCAGGCTAGGTAGGTATTACTTTACCAATTTTGCCATGATGAAGTGGAGGTTTCAAAAGGTCACATGCCTTGCCCAGGGACACAGAACTATCAGTGGCTGACCAGAAATTTGGACCAGCTAAGTGTCAAGTCTGTGAGCATTCCACCACACCACACTGTCTCTCCACAGGGATTCCAGAGTCTCTATTTGAGTTGATTTCATTACTGAACAAAAGTAGGTTCACTTCCTGGAGAGTTAAAATCAGCCTCTCCACCAGAACCCCTTGTCACACAAAGTAGAGTTTATTTGCAGTAAATAGGAGGCTATGTAGTGGAATCATTTCCAAAGTCGTGGCTCCCCGAGCATGAGCACGGGCCAGCAGGGGCTTCTCATTTTGGATGGGGAATGAATATTCAAAGGGAGAGGTGGGTATTCACTTGAACAGGCCAGTTGGCTCATCTGCCAGGGCGCCTCTTGGTCTGGTTCAGGGGGTTGGTGATTGCATCTCTTAAAATAACAACAACAAAAAAACAATTTAGAGAAACTATTAAATGTATCTGAAACCTCCCTTGAGTTTCTTGGGGGTAATTAGTAGGTGACAATTTCTCTTGTCCAGCTTTTTCCTGTCCTTCCAGTCTCACTCATGTGCTCCTCAGACAGAATGTCCTCTCCACTCCCTCTGTCAGAACACATCCCTCCTAATTTAAACCTCCATTAACAGACAACTCCCCTTCAAAGCTATCGCTGACTAACGCTTACCCAACTTTGAGTAAACTGTCCCGTTGCAGGTCTCTGGTTATCACGAGTCTCCTGATAAGGCCTGAGAGCAGGATTTCATCCTTAAAGATGGTACAGTTAACTCATAAACACTTAGGAGGAAATTTTAAAAACAGAGAGTTAAGTTATCATGGTTTTTAATGACTTATACCTAATTCCCAAAAGTGTACCAGGCAGCTTAAAATAGCACATGTCACACTGTGCTAGGCACTGCATGTACCCAAATTTTTTCCTTATAAAGCACTCATGAGATAAGGATTGTTATTCTTTTCTAAGTTCCCATAATGAGAAAGGAGCAGATTCAAACTCATGCTCGTTTCTCCGATGCCCAGGCTCTTTCTATTATACCTACCTGCCTCTTTACTAAGTTGTTTATAATATTAATTACCAGATACTTCAGTTATATGAGCATTTGTAGATTAGCATTAGCATTAAAATTTGCTCAGAGTTTCCTGGTAGAAAAAACAGGAAGAGAGATATATGTATGTAGACAGATAGATGTAAGAAGAAAGAGAAGAGAAAAGGCTACGTTAAAATATACATATTCTTACACATTTGAACATAAATTTGATGAGGAATTTTTCACTAAATTAAAAAGTCAGACTGTAATTAAATGAAAAATATTTGAAATAATTTTAATTCAATTCCAAAATGTTTTAAAAGTAGCTTATTTAAAGCACCAGATCAAATCCCGCCGCACCTCTGCCCCCTTCACGGACAGCCTGTAAAGGCCAATCTGAAGAGGATCTCACCCATTTACAGACGTAACTATTGATCCAGAAGCCCCGAAGATGTGTACTGTACAATAATCCCATATCTCCATGCCATTTTTAATGTTGTTCCATTTTTTTTTATCTCCACCTCTGGATTATAACTCCTTGCGAGTGGAGACCTCTCTTCTGGTTCTCTCCTATCTTTTCAGGTAACTGATCAGGGTCAGGTCCATTATATGCTCGTTAATTACTGGCAGGCAATCAAAAGTGCTTTGAGCCCATGAAAGGAGACGTCCATGAGTAGATACAGGAAAAATTGAAGATGCATGGATGCCTGGCAGGAGATACTGATTGTGCAAGAGCGAAACTGGCTCTGTAGCCTCCCTGTCTGCTTGTTGGATTTCTTATTTAGGCTTCAGTAACCTCAGATGTGTTGATTACAGCGCTTAATGTTGTTACCCTCCCTCCACCACAAATGCGGACCCTTGGTGGGGTCACAGGGTATCAGTGATCTGCCATGACTCCAGGTTGGGGTGGAAATTCAGGCAGATATTTGTTGTCTGAACAACCAGACAGGCTGTCTCCTGAGATCTGACCAAAACTGGAACTTGGAGGAGATTCAGCTGGCTTTGGTTCAAACCAGACAAACTAAAACAATGCTAACAGCCAAGGAAGGAGTCTCGAGACCCTGCGAGAAATGCTGACTCCCCTGTAGCCTGAAGTCTGCACACTCTTAGCACGAAAGCGCCAGCAGCCTCAGTCCTTCCGCGCTCCGACCTCCACTCCACAGAGCTGTGAACGCAGGGCCTGTGACGGGCAAGAATTATCGCTGAAAACTTATAAATAATAACATTAAGCCATATCACAGCCATGTGAACATGTTGTAGGTAGAAATAACAGACACGTATGCACACTATAGAAGAGTCATAGGTTACAGAAAATTAGCCTGAACCCACACACGCACGCACACACACTCACTTTTGTACGAGGGCGGGCAAGATGGAACGCAGAATGTGGTTCAACTTTCAGAGCCTTAAGCGAGAGCCTCTTTGCAAGTGGAAAGCAAACAAAACGAACTGGTCACAGGGTCAGCGTGCTCTGGAACGCAGAAGTGTTTGTCGCCAGTCAAACAGCCGCCTGGTGTTAGGTTTACACAGTGTTTCAACAAACCAAAACAATGAGGACATTTACCATTAACTCTAGGCCTCAGCCATAAAATCAGGATGGGGAAGACCAAGGTCACTAACTCTGATCCCTAAGGCCCTCAACAAACAGTGCTGCCCAGGGCAAAATAGCTATTTAGACGAGGTCGTGCAAATGTACTAAACACCTGGTATTTTGCCAAAGACTCTGTAGATTAGGAAGATGCCCCCAGCCCCTTCATAAGGCACGCCTTTCAGGCTGCGCTGAGGTCTCTCTGGCAGTCAGACAAATAAATAACGGTGAGGTGTCACTGACAAGTGATTGTCATTTTAAACCAGAAGGAGGTGCTCAAGGCCACCTGCAGGATCAGGAGTTTCCCAGAGGAGGTAGAATTTGAGTTGAACCTGGAGGAAAGAGGAGAATTTTCCCAGGACCACAGACTGGAGGTGATGGGGTAAGAGCGGAGGGGCATGCTGGACATAAGGAAGAGTGATTGCAAGGCAGGAGGAGCACGGATGTTCCAGAAACTACTAAAAATAATTTAGTGTTGTCAGATGTGAGGTGGGAGCCGCAGGAGATGGGGGTGGGGGAGGTGGTAGTCAGATCAAGAAGGGTCCTGTGCTTATGTCAGGTGAGGCGCGTACATTTCATCCTGTGCGGGGAGGGAGGCCGGTGCAACATTTTGAGCTGAGGCAGTAGTTTGGCCATGTTTGCTTCTTGGAAAGATCAGTACAATGACCTTGAGGAGGACAGGTGGGAGGGCAGGTGACTGGAGGGAGCGAAGTGGTCCTGTCGGGGAGGGGTGGGCAAGTTTGCAGGGGACATTGGGACTAGGAGACACTGAGGAGTTGTTAGGCCCAGGTGAATTGTCAGAGACCTGCACAGGCGGCTGTCAGATTCCCGAGGGGGACGATGGGACAGCAGAAGTGAGATGTGTGGTCAGCCCTAGCTCCAAGCAAATTCCAGGGCCGGGGAATGGCTCTGGGCAGCCCCAGGTCCTCCCCTGACTTCTGAGAGCCATTCTTAATGCTGGGCAGGGCTCCACCACTGGCCTGGGGCATTAGGGACTGGACAGCCAGGCTGTGTCAGCGCTGAGGGGTGCATCTGAGGTCCTGCTGCGCTGCCAGTGTCTGGAGCACGGCAGGGGGTCTTAATAAACACTGTTGATTGAACGGAGCCCAGCACTCATATAGCTGGGCATGCAGCAATGAGCACGCCACACCAGAGTCCTGCCCTGGAGCAGCATATATCCCAGGTGGTGAGACAAGCCATCAGCAAAAGAAACAAAATGCATTGAAAGCTAGATGGCAGAACACACTGTAAAGAAAAATAAGGTGGGGAGAGTGGTTTGCAACTTTAAAGAAGATGATCAAGGAGGGTTTCACTGAGCAAAGACCTGCAGGGGTTGGAAATGTGGGAGAAAAGCATTCCGGGAAGAGGGGAGAGTCAGGGCCGAGATGTTGAGCCTGGTGTGTTGTTAGCATGTTGGGGAGTAGCAAGGAGGCCAGCGTGGCTGTAGTGAAGTGTGTGGGGGTGGAGAAGTGGGGGAGGGCAGGGGTGTGTAGGGCTGGGAGCCCCTGTCCTCCACTGAGTAAGATGGAAAGTCCAGTTTACTCTCCCTGCTACCCTGTGCGGCACACCTTTCTCCTCTCCTGCCCCTTCCCGTCACAACTCAGCAGTGCTCAGTGTGGGGCATTCTAGAGACAGCTGGTCAGGACACACGCGAAAGCCAACATCACTGAAACAAGAGGGAGGAGGCCTGCTCTATATTAAAGAGCCTAAAGAGCTGTAGGAATCAAACACCATGCTTTCATTCTTGGGATAAGGAGGGCGACTGGGATGCGGTCTAAGACTGTATCGTGGACCTATTCTTAATTTGCTTAGGTGTGATCATTCTACTAAGGTTGCGTAGGAGAATGTCCTCATTCTGAGAAGATGCATGCTGAAATATTCAGGGGTGCAGTGTCACGATATTGGCAACTTACCTTCAAATGACTCGGTCAACTCACACACACGATCAAATGGGTACTTACACACATAGATAACGCCAAAATATGAACAGCTGTTGCATCTCGGTGGTTGGTGTATAGACACTTGTTGTACTAGTCTATCAACATTCATTTTAGAAAATTTATTAAGAAGTTCGCAAAAACCCTGTTTGCTGTGGTCCTTTTGGCTCTCCTCTTGGTTGCCCTTATTTATTCTCAGGAGATTCTGCCTGGCCCCCTGGGCAATTTATTTGCTTTGGATCAGAAATGTTTGTCTCTAGAGCCTTGAAGGAGACACAGCATAGGGATCCGGGCGTGGTGCTGAGTGGGTGGCACTCTTTTTGGCTGGTGGGCACGGACAGGACAGGTGTGTGAGTTCAGGGATGGTGGATCCGCACAATTTTAAGAGACACTTCTCGGGCAACAGCGGGGCAAAGATGAAATGCAGCCTGGAAAGGCCGAGTCCTCTCTGGAGTGTGTGCTTTTCCTTCAGGCTGAGGTTCTAAATGCTTCCATGGTTTACCTGCTGTGTGACTTCACAAAAGGGGAATGTGATTTAGAAACTCAGCGGTCATCCACAAAGTCTGTTTCCAGTTGGGCGGTTCCGAGGCACCATCAGGGGATTGGGCTCTGGTGTATTAAACCCCAGAGTTAATCCAGTGGCCAGTATGTCTGTGAATATCAGAAAGCTCAGCTGCCCTTTGCACGGGTCACCTCGTTTCCATGTGGTATTTTCCACCTGGAAGCCGGAAGGAGCTGGACTTAGCACCTTTGGGTCTCCTGGTGAGATTTTAGCATAGGGTTATGAAGTGAGCATTTACCCACACCCCCACCCCTGCCAGCCATACGAGACAGAAAAACAAAAAATAACTCTGGAAGAATTGCTTACATGTCAGAGAAAAGAAGAATGTAGGTGGTTGAGGACTTCTAAAGATAAAGCTGTTTGTAGCCCTTTATTGGTTAAAAAAGAATTTTTTTTGTTTTGCTGCAGAAATAGCAATAAAAGATAAAAATCACCTGAGACTAAAGGAGGAAGTCGAAAAATAGTCAGGATTGGTAGGTCTGTCTATCTCAGTGTAGCAATAATTATAATAGCAGCAGCTACAATAGCAGCTAACATTTTTTGAGTGCTTACTGTGTACAAGGAGAGTAAGCACTTCTCATGTTTAACTAATTTAATCCTCATGACAACTGTATGAGGTAGCTACTCGTATTATTCTCACTTTTAGGGAGCTGAGGTCCAGAGAAGTTAAATAACTGGTATGAGGTCACATGGCGAGTCATTAACAGAGATGGTATTCAAGCTGTCTCTTGAGGTGAACTAAATAAAACTCGATGCTATTTTTCTAGAGTCATGTTTTTATTTTCTCCTCTCTCCATGGTACGACTTGCTCTGGTCCCTCTGCAGGATTAGAGTACATTGAAAATGCTGGGCCCACACATTCCTAGCAAGCGAGTCACTAAGTAGCCTCTTTAAAGGAGTGGCCCCAATCTGTGACTCTGGACCTTGGGGCACCAATGACTTACTGTTTTCACTGACAATAGCTTGCTATGTGCCATGCCTTCTGCTATATAGTTCACATGTTTTATTTCAGTATTTTAAAAAAAACTTGGGGCTGGCCTGGTGGTGTAGCAGTTAAGTTCACATGCTCCACTTCAGCAGCTTGGGGTTGGTGAGTTCAGATCCTGGGCGTAGACCTACACATGGTTCATCAAGCCATGCTGTGGCGGTGACCCATGTACAAAACAGAGGAAGATGGGCACAGAGTCAGCTCAGGGTCAGTCTTCCTCTCCAAAAAACAAAAAACCAAAAAAAACCCTTTCATAACTCACAATGAAAAACATAATGTTGTATAGTAGGATGAAGTTATACATATATATTTGGAATAAAAGTTTCACAAAACAACACTTACTGTTACTATGTGTGATAGACTTTGCTATTGTCCATTTTGTTCTATTTCACTTAAAAAATGCACATTGTGACATACTAATGGATTTTACGTGCTGCTAAATGGTTTACAACCTATTCTTTAGAAAAACACTCCTTTAGTTCATTTCAGTTTTCACAGTAATATTGTGAAGTCAGTATAATTTTAATACCCAATTTTACAGATGAGAAAACTGAGTTAATTTGTTCAAGGTCACACAAAGAATCCAAGGCCTGAGGCTTATACTTGGAATAATATTCCTTTTCAAAACAGGCATCAGTAATGTTAAAAAACAGCTTTCCAAATTCTTGTGCATCACCTGCGGCCTGAATAAACACGAGGCTCTGCACGTATGGGTATACAGGCACTATTCTGGTTCTAACACGTGCAGATGGGGTTGTGATTTATAAAATTCTCCTATTTCTATGTAACTCTAAATTCATGGTAGCTTTTAGTTATTATGTATGTTTTCAATCAACTGATTTAAAAACTATCACTTCTATTATATGGAGATCTGAGGAATTCTTTGAAATTGGAGTTGCTTTTTTCTAGGAAATGGATTGAAACACGTAGGCCGTACCTTCAGAAGTGTGGTTAGCAGGCTTGACCGGGGACTCGTGGATTTACATCTTTCGTTTCACCAGCCTCTGCCTGAGCTTAGCATCTACATCCGTTATCAGTAGGCAACAAACCATAGCAGTATTAGCAGCACATATCAGTTTGTCACCACTAGTAATTACTGATACTTTCATATCACCTTACAGTGTTGCAGATGTTTTAGAACATCATTGATGCTCATCGAAATTAGCATCAAAATCATGCTAGTTATTAGCATCACCATTAGATCTTGATATTTAGGGCAGTGATAAAGAAGCACATGCGTTAGACTATCACAAAATGTGTTCTGTAATAGTTTGGTAATTGAAAATTTAGAAAATAGAAATAGTAAAGGGGTCCCCAGGTCTCACCAGCCCACCAAAGTGGGCCATGGCTCCAGAACAGAGGAAGGCCGTGGGT